GTGTGCGTAGTTCTATGCGTTTCCTGAAGCTGCGGTTGCTGATCGCATTGTAATGGCTGCATGAATGTTGCATGGGCTATGTTTTGGGGAGGAAGCCGGAGCACGAAACCTTGTGTTTTTCCGTGTAAAGTGGCTGCAGTTGGCGATGAAAGGTACCTCGTCTGTGCGGCGGGTGCGGCTGGGGTCGTTTCTGTCGCGAATTGTTCCTCCTATGTGTTTTGCAACAAGTGCTTGTTCTTGTGTGCGTAGTTCTATGCGTTTCCTGAAGCTGCGGTTGCTGATCGCATTGTAATGGCTGCATGAATGTTGTATGGGCTATGTTTTGGGGAGGAAGCCGGAGCACGAAACCTTGTGTTTTTCCGTGTAAAGTGGCTGCAGCCGGCGATGAAAGGTACCTCGTCTGTGCGGCGGGTGCGGTTGGGGTCGTTTCTGTCGCGAATTGTTCCTCCTATGTGTTTTGCAACGAGTGGTTGTTCCTGTGTGCGTAGTCCTATGCGTTTCTTGAAGCTGTGGTGGCAGATCGCATTGGAATGGCTGCATAATTGTCGTCATTTGGTGTTGCCACGTCCGTAGATAGGTGCAGGTTTGCTACGGGATGCTGCGAAATGCATTGTAGTGGCTGCCTCAAGGTTGCTCGGTGCAGCTGCATGCGTAATACTATTGTTTTTTGTAACTGAAGATCATAAATCGTATTGGAATGGCTGCATCAAGGCTGCGAAAGTGAATTGTCAGCAGATTTTCTCAATTTTGGCGCTAATAATTTTCCTTTTAAAATTCCTTTTAAAAAGTGCTTCAAAATCGTCTTTTTGTCGCTTTGGCGTCGAGATCCGGTTTTGGAGCTGCAATTTCCGATGCCATTGCACGTAGTTCTATTGTGTTTTGTAATTCAGTCTCTGCAGATCGCATTGTAGTGGCTGCGTCAAGGTTGCTTGGTGCAGCGGCTGCATGCGTAATACTATTGTCTTTTGCAGCTAAAAATCATAAATCGTATTGGAATGGCTGCATCAAGGCTGCGAAAGTGAATTGTCAGCAGATTTTCCCAATTTTGGCACTAATAATTTTCCTTTTAAAATTCCTTTTAAAAAATGCTTCAAAAATCATCTTTTTGTCGCTTTGGCGTCGAGATCCGGTTTTGGAGCTACAATTTCCGACGCCATTGCGCGTAGTTCTATTGTATTTTGCGACTCAATTTCTGCAGATCGCATTGTAGTGGCTGCGTCAAGGTTGCTTGGTGCAGCTGCCTGCGTAATACTATTGTCTTGTGCAACTGAAGATCATAAATCGTATTGGAATGGCTGCATCAAGGCTGCGAAAGTGAATTGTCAGCAGATTTTCTCAATTTTAATTATCCTTTTAAAATTCCTTTTAAAAAGTGCCTCGAAATCGTCTTTTTGTCGCTTTGGCGTCGAGATCCGGTTTTGGAGCTGCAATTCCTGTTGTAATAAACGCTTGCTGTGTGTAAAAGATTTTGTGTGTAAAAGCTTGCTATGTGTAAAAGCTTCTCTGTTTGTAAAAGCATCTCTGTGTAAAAATTTCTGTGTACGTAAACAGTTGCCATGTGTAAAAGCATTGTATGTAAGTGCCCTGTGTGTAAATGTTTGCTGTGTGTGAACGCTTGCTGTGTGTGAACGCTTGCTGTGTGTAAAGTTTCTCTGTGTGTAAAAGCTTCTCTGTTTAAAAAGCTTGCTGTGTGTGTAAACGCTTGCCATGTGTAAAAGCGCTGTCTGTAAGTGTTCTGTGTGTAAATGGTTGCCATGTATAAAAGCACTGTGTGTAAGTGTTCTGTGCGCAAACGCTTGCTGTGTGTAAAAGATCTTGTGTGTAAAAGCTTGCTGTGTGTAAAAGCTCCTGTGTGTAAAAGCGTCTTTGTGCAAAATTTTCTGTGTGTAAACGCTTGCCATGTGTAAAAGCACTGTGTGTAAGTGTTCTATGTGTAGACGCTTGCTTTGTGTGAAAGCTTGCTGTGTGTAAAAGCTTCTCTGTGCAAAAGCTTGTTGTGTGTAAAAGCTTCTGTGTAAAATCTTCTCTGTTTCAAAAGTTTGCTGTGTGTAAAAGTTTCTCTGCGAAAGAACTTGCTGTGTGTAAAAGCTTTCTGTGTGCAAGCTTGCTTAAAAAGTAGTGGGATATATTTTGTGCAAGCTTTGTAATACACAGTAGTACTGGGAAGTGCTTTTTGCAGGCTTTGTAGTACACAGTAGTACTAGGAAGTGCTTTGTGCAAGCTTTATAGTACAAAGTAGTATTGGGCAGGCAGTGCTTTTTGCAAGCTTTGTATTACAAAGTAGTACTGGGAAGTAGTTTCTGCAAGCTTTTGTAGTACATAGTAGTACTGGGAAGTGTTTTGTGCAAGCTGTGTAGTACAAAGTAGTACTGGGAAGTGCTTTGTGCAAGCTTTGTAGTACACAGTGTTATTGGGAAGGAGTTTCTGCAAGCTTTTGTAGTACACAGTAGTACTGGGAAGTATTTTTTTGCAAGCTTTGTAGTGCACAGTAGTACTGGGAAGTGTTTTGTACAAGCTTTGTATCACACAGTAGTACTGGGAAGTGCTTTGTGCAAGCTTTGTAGTACACAGTAGTATTGGGAAGTGCTTTGTGCAAGCTTTGTAGTACGAAGTAGTATTGGGAAGTGCTTTGTGCAAGCTGTATAGTACAAAGTAATATTGGGAAGTAATTTGTGCAAGCTTTGTAGTACACAATAGTACTGGGAAGTGCTTTGTGCAAGCTTTGTAGTACAAAGTAGTATTGGAATGCGTTTTGTGCAAGCTTTGTAGTACACAGTGTTACTGGGAAGTGCTTTGTGCAAGCTTTGTAGTGCACAGTAGTACTGGGACGTAGTTTGTGCAAGCTTTGTAGTACACAGTGTTACTGGGAAGTAGTTTGTGCAAGTTTTGTAGTACTTACTAATATTGGGAAGTGCTTGGTGCAAGCTTTGTAGTACAAAGTAGTACTGGGAAGTGCTTTGTGCAAGCTTTGTAGTACAAAGTAGTATTGGGAAGGAGTTTCTGCAAGCTTTTGTAGTACTTAGTAGTACTGGGACGTGCTTTGTGCAAGCTGTGTAGTACAAAGTAGTACTGGGAAGTAGTTTGTGTAAGCTTTGTAGTACACAGTAGTACTGGGAAGTGCTTTGTGCAAGCTTTGTAGTACAAAGTAGTACTGGAATGCGTTTTGTGCAAGCTTTGTAGTACACAGTGTTACTGGGAAGTCTTTTATGCAAGCTTTGTAGTATACAGTAGTACTGGGAAGTGCTTTGTGCAAATTTTGTAGTACAAAGTAGTATTGGGAAATGCTTTTTGCAAGCTTTGTAGTACAAAGTAGTACTGGGAAGTAGTTTCTGCAAGCTTTTGTAGTACATAGTAGTACTGGGAAGTGCTTTGTACAAGCTGTGTAGTACAAAGTAGTACTGGGAAGTGGTTTGTGCAAGCATTGCAATACAAAGTAGTACTGAGAAGGGAAGTGCTTCGTGCAAACTTTGTAGTACAAAGTATTTCGGAAAGGCTGTTGTGTGTAAATGCGTCTGTGTCTCAAGTGTCTATGTGCAATAACTTTCTGCGTCCGGTGTTTTTTTGTGCAAAAGACTTCTTTCTGACAATAAGATTTTTTTGCGGGCAGAACAGCCAAGATGAGTTGATACGAACTCCAAGGAGATGAGAAAGGCTGGTCAGTGCTCGGATAAGATGAAAGTAGTTAAGAAGAACTTATTTAATTGACATGTGAGAAGAGACGGGATAAGATGAGAAGAGCTGAGATGAGGTGAGAAGAGCTCACATGATTTGAGAGATGAAGTGTCGAGTGTAAAGTGCAAGTGTGAAGTGTGAAGAGTGCAGTGTGAAGAAAGTGTTTGTTTAGCATTGTATTGCGCCGGGGTCGTGTGCAGGTCATGTTCTTCGACAATATCTGCGCAACAGTTTCGCACAATGCAACCAGCAAAAGTGTGGAGTGTGAAGTGTGTAGTGTGGAGTGTAAAGAGTGCAGTGAGAAGTACGAAGTACTTGAAATGTGATATGTGAAAGAAGATACCAATTTCGCAAACACGCACGGGCTTAGCTAGCGTACGACGCATGCAAATTTTATAGATGAGAAAGGTCTTATATATATCTTTAGGGCAATTTCCGCCCCACCATAAATATAATAATTTTAATTTATTAATAATAATTATATATATTATATTATTTATTTATTATCCAAATTTATATTTTTATTAAAATCATATTATTAAATTATATATAATATTGTTTTATTTATATAATATAATATAATTATTTTTAAAAAATAAATATATTAATAATTTTATAATACTAATTAATATTTAATATATTAAAAAAATATTTTAGTTATAATATATTTTACAAATAATATTTTTTTTTTCAATAAAATTCTTATATCATAATATATAAATTCATATATAAAATAATATATATTATATATATATTTATATATATATATAAATATTAATATATTTCTAATCCAATTATTATTTAATTTCAAGATATATAATAAATAAATATATTGTAATATTTATTATTATTCTTAATATATATATATATATATGAGCGATTGTGAAAACCCTAGGTTCATGGAAAGGACATCCATATATTTGGGAAGGTCCCATCGCTTACCACATATTTGTACAATAATGATATATGGTAAACTTGGGGGGTATCGCTTGCAAGAAATTGCTGCATTTATATATATATATATGATGAACTATGAATTATATGTGATATTTGGGTATCGCTAATGTGGATATTAGAGAAATATGATGACATAATCTTGAAAAGGGGTATCGCTAATTTGGGAAGGTCCCATCGCTTACCTCGTGTTTTTAACAATTTCCATCAATTTCCATAAACCAATGTCCGTCGAATACATATTTAGTATTGCCGGGGTTTTTACGGTTGCTCATATATATATAAATATATATATAAATTAATGATGTCTATTTATGACTTCTTATCTTATTGATTATTTTTTGATGGTGTGTAATTTTGACACAATCCCATCCTCACATGTCACGGGCAAACCTGCAGGAGGGCGCTGGATGTCATTATTCCATCCCCATGTGGGGACGTGATGGAAGATCCACGGACTTTCTTGATCTCATCCAAGATAGCTTCTTGTAATCTGACGTGAAATAGCTATGGAAAATGACCGTTACTATATACTAATAACATCTAATAACTTATTTGCGGGCAATCTTCCATGATTAGCCTAATTAGCTATGTTACATCGACGTGTTTGGCAGTTTGCCACAACACGCTTGCTCTGAGTTGGCTCTCAGCCCCCCCGGGTGCCTTTCATCCAGTCCGGACAGGAGCAATTCGCTTGGCCGCGGCAACATGTTGGTCCACTCCTTGGTGGGGAGAATGTTGGTCGTTTTTGAAGCTCGAAAGATCTGAAAGTTGGAATCACAAGCATCATCAATGAATAAGATGTAGGTATAGATCCCTTGTGAATTAAGTCGGAACGTCATACAGGTTATACCTCTATAACAAGCGTAATATGGCTCAATTTTGGGTATCCTGAAGCTTTTGGATGCATTTTGTAAAATTTGGTTAAAGTTGTAACATGTTGGTAGCAATATGTAGCAGTGGCATTTCTGTGTTTTTTCCATTTTAAAGTGGCGGTTGTTCTAAATTCCTTTATCTTGAAACGGCCATTCTTCGCGAATTAAACAAGTAATTTCGCGAATCTTTCGCCCCCCAAAAATACTTTCACGAACTCAGAAAAAACTTTCGCGGGGTCTGATGTTGAAACCCGACGGCCTTGGCAATTAAAAATCCTTACACGGACCTTTAGAGCGACTCCCAGTTGTATAGGTTGGGTTTTGATGGAATGGGTAGGGTATGCTATGGTGTGGTATGGTGTGGTATGGTGACGTATGTGTTTTTTGGTGATAACAGCTTCAGCCACTATAGCTCACACATTGAGTGCAGCAGGGCACGGCCAAGCAAGCAGTGCCGCCGCCACATGGTTTTTGAGTTTGCCATATATCAAGTTAAACGGCGTGAGTTAGCATGCCATATCGACTATTGATAGCTATTGATTGGGAATTATTATCGTGATTTGGCAATCCATCTACATCCATCTCCACATCAACACTGTGGGCATTTCATGGTCAGCGCCTCTCAACAGAGATTGGGTTCACTCACTGGCTGCCCGGGACAACTGTGGGCCATTGTGGTTGTCATTTTCAACCCCCCAGTGTTTCCCAAATTTGATTGGCTGGACATAAACAGTCATAAACAAGAATAACGTATTGAAAGATTCTTCCGAAACTTTGTCAAAAACCAAGTCATCGCTTCAGGACACTTTGCAATATTGCTTTCAGTAGTTTGCGACACACATTCAAGGGTGAGACCTCTTGAAGCTTTCTGCATGGAGCTGGTAGATCTTTACTCACATGGGGTATACCCCTCCAATTTAAAGCAATATTTTGATAAGTAAACACTTGGTTCTAGGCCTTCTATAGCCACAATTGGGCAATAATAACATATAATCACCCGTCAATTCGTGGCAAAATGTGGCAAAATCACAGATTTCATCAGATTTTCTGATTTATTCATCCATAAATCCACTATGATCCACTATGATCCACTATGATCCACTGGTTCATCATCTTCCCTATGAATCAAAAATAACACCCTGGGACTCCACCATGGCCCACCTGGACTTGTGCAGCTTGTGGAGCCGGAGCCACCGGAGCCATGGCAGCTCCGGCTGGCGCGGCATGCGCGGCTCCGGCCGAGCTGAGCTCCACCTGGCGATGGTAATCCATTATTTCGTATCCATTCAATGGCCATTTCAGGAACCTAAATTGGAGGTACCTACCATATATAAGGCCTATGTAAGGCCTAAATTTCAGGGAATATCCCCCCAAAATATGGCCTTATATGGTACAGTACCTCCATTTTAGGATCCTGAAATTCCCATTGATCCATTAGTATAGGATATAGGTATGATAAGTATCTATAATATTCTATAATGGTATAGTCTTATATAATCTTAGTATCCAGAATCCAGAAACTGGAATCTATACAATTTACTATAATAGTATAATAGCTTACTATCAACCAATCTATAATTCATATTTAGTATCCAGAATCAAATCGATCATAGGTATCTATATTTGATATATTTTGATATTGTATCCTGATGGATTCAGTATCCAATAGTATCGATGGTAAAGATGATCTCTATATTTAGTGGAACCTATGGATTAATCATCGATTCGTATCCATGAGTATCCACGCACAATAATTATCCACATTAGTATCCACTAGTTACTTCCATGGAAAAGGATTTGATGATGTGTCATGACATGTAGTGATATTTAAATGATGATATGCAATGACTGGTTGGTGGTATACCTAGCCAGCTGAAAAATATGAGTTCGTCAGTTGGGATGATGACATTCCCTATATGATGAGAACGTCAGTCAAAATTCCATGATTCCAGTCACCACCAACCAAATGATGTTTAATGTCGATATGTCAGAATCTTCTGATCTGATGATTTTGGTCCGTTGTTGAATCGAATCCAAGGACCTTTTAGAAAATGGATCAACGGATAAACGATGATTAAGTAAGTGTATTTGATCAGAATCAACCAATGGATTGACTATGAATGGATAAACTAAACTAGCATAAATTAATTAACTATCTTTTTAAACATGATTTGCGAATGGGATAGCATGAAATCAATCTGATATCAACCAATGGGTTAATTACCATAGATTAATTGAAAAAGACCAATGACATAGGAATATAAAGATACTGGAGACTTCAAAGATGGATTCATCACGTATGTCATTTCTCAAAAGAATGTTCCATGAATTTCTTCCATGATCTTCCATGATTTTAATCCATTAAGTTTCAGGGAATTGATTCGATGTTGGACAACTTCGACCCCAAAGCCCATGGAAACTGCGGTTTTGCCTGTTCAAAATAGATTGAATCTCCGTGAATATCACAAGTCTCAATCTGAGAACAAGAGAATCCAAGAGAATCACGCAATCAGAGAGGTCGCGCCATTGCACATGTCATGTTGGCTCAGCCGTCGCTCAACAGGTTTTTTCGACCCTTGCAATTTCAAGTTTTTCGGCACCAGCAACCGCTGGCCTGGTCAAGGAAAAAGGTGGAGTCCAAGTCCTTGATCCCCTTATGGTGCTATGGTCAACACATCTGATGGGGGTGCTACCCTTTGGTAAACTAACATAACTGATGGGAAAATCATCATTTTTAATGGGAAAATCCACTATAAATGGTCATTTTCAATAGCTATGTTAAATTACCAGAGGCTATGGTCAACACATCTGATTGATGGGGTATGGTCATCTCCACAGATGGGGGATGACCATGATGACCATCCCCTTTCTGGGAAAACATCTCCATCCGGGACATTGGCGGCGCTGTGTGTTTATATAGAGGTTTCAGTCTCAAACCTTGTGGATGAGGGCCAAAATCTTCCCTTACATTCTGAGGTGATGTATTCCAAATAACTTTGGTTCCTCTCTCTCTCTCATGATCTTCCAGCATCTTTGTCTACCGGATCCTGTGCCGATCTGACATCAATGGGTTATCTTGACCGAGTAAACAGCTACCGATATCTGCTGATCCTTCACTAATCTTTTCTTCTACCCACCTCAAGATCCTTACATGTCGCTACTGAGATCTACTGAAACAGTCTCCTTATGTCTTCTTGAGAATCATTCATGCTTTGTCAGGTATTCTTCCTCCACTTTTGATCCAGGCTATTACGGCTGCTCGTGCCGGCAATGAAAAACTTCTGCAAAGGAATCGCTACGAAACGCTGAGATACCTTCAAAAGCGCGCAACTTCACAAAGTGCACGATCTGTGTCAAATTGAAAAAACGCGAGAACCATCGAGAATCGTTGGTTCAGCACAGCACTAATGTTACTTGGTCATGGAACCGCCACCCCAGTTCCCTGAGGCTGACTCATGCTTGCAGCATGAAATAATATGAATTCCATACTGCAAAACATCCTGAACACGGCAAGAAGAGCGGCACTGGGAACTCACTCCCTTTGTTGAGGGCAAGGCACCTCTCAACCATCACATGAGGTTCTGGCCAACACGGGTTGGCGGATGGAAAGCTGGTTGGAGAGCTCTGTCATCATAGTGACAACGGCTCGAACTCCCAAAGATGACTTTGAAATAAAAGGCATGATACAAAATGGAATCCAACTGGAAGCAACATGAAAAAAACAGCACTCATCAGCAACCAACTGACGAGTTTTCAGCATTCTTTGGGTCAAACACGGGAGAACAAAGCCGTCCATCATTCCACGAATCAGCTCTGAGATTAAATACTGTGCCGAAACCCAATAGATTGTGGGAACGAATAATGCTTGGTTCCAACTGCCTTCTTCTTCTTCGCATGACATCTTTAATTAGCTTGAAATGGTCTATTGCTTGGTGATGCTTGGTGTATGAAAAACAGCCACGAATCAGTGAGTCATCAGTGCGACAAGTTGGATGCGCAAATCCCACGATGTTCGAATCCTTTGTGAGTCTATGGCTTCCGCTGTGTTATGTGAACCCCAAACTGGAACTTCTCCAGTTCAACTGGCGTAACTGGGGTCCAAAGATGCCCTTTCAGACACCTGCCCACAAGATTGCAGATGGCATGCGAGTCTCATAATGGAGAAACTCAGGCACCGCAAAGGTTGCTGGGTGAAGACTAAAAACACATGGCCCAACGATTTTAGTTGGTACCCTCTGGAAATTTAACATAGCTATGGAAAATCACCATTTTTAATGGGAAAACTCACTATTTCAATGGCCATGTTCAATAGCTATGTTAGTTTACCAGAGGGTACACATCCAAGTCTCTGCAGGTCTCTGAAATCATCAAAATTGACTGTGCCTCCATAAATTCAAGCATTGACTTTTTCGCGGCCTCAACATGGTGCAGGCAAATGTACACGTGGCAAGTGCGAGGCTTCAAGGAAGTAGCATATATATATATTTATGTTTAATATATATATATGTTTAATATATGTTTAATATATATATATATATGTTTAATATATATATATGTTTAATATATGTTTAATATATATATATATATATATGTTATATATATAATATATATATATGGGGCAGCGTTGGCCAGCCCCCCTCCCCTCCCCCCCCCCACAATGGGTATGGGTGGACAGTATCGTCTGGTTCTTCTGGCCCCCCCCCCCCTGTGGCCTGTGGTGGTGGTATGGTTCTTCTGTCCCCCCCCCCCCTGTGGCCTGGTGGTGGTGGTAGGTTCTTTCTGGTGTCACCCCCCCCCCCCCCTGTGGCCTGTGGTGGTGGTATGTGTGGTATGTTGTTGTTGTATGTTGGTATGTTGGTATGTTGGTATGTTGGTATGTAGGTATGTAGGTATGTATGTAGTATGTTGTATGTATTTAGTATGTATGTATGTATGTATGTATGTTTAAGTAAGGTAAGGTAAATGTAAGGTAGGTAAGGTATGTCAAGGTAGGTCCCTCAATGTATGTCAGTTTTCCTATTTCCCGTCCCGGTATGTATTTACTGTCTGGTCTATGTATGTCTGTCTTTCTGTTTCTGTATGCTGTCTTCCGGTCCTGTCCGGTCCGGTCCTTCCGGTAAGGTAAGGTGTGGTATGTCGTAATGTAATCCGTGTAATGTCAGTAGGTCCGTCGGTGGTATAGTAGTATATGTACCCCACCACAGGCATCATACCCCCCCCCCCATCCCATGGGGGGGGGGTGGGAACACGGGACACGGACCATATATATATGTTATATATATAATATATATATAATATGTATATATATATATGTTATATATATAATATATATAAGTATCATGTGTCTGATTTGGAAGAGAAACAATGCACCACATGACATGACGTATGACCAGTATTTACCATTGACACCTATTCACTGAAAGTGACAGGGATCACACCACAGTATAAGCTACAATCAGCAAGATCCCCTGCTCAGGCACTGCCAAACATAACTGGTGGTTTCAACCTCTCTAAAAAGGTACTAGTCATGGGATACCACCACCTCAGGCAGGAACGGAAAAAAAAAACACCATAATAAAAACCTCCAGCCGAATAGTCAACAGGTTCTGGAGCAAGTTGTGAAAGATGTCGGATTCACCCTGAAGAAGGGCTAATCTCCAAATCAAAACAAGATTTGGAACTCTCCATGGAATCAATCGCACGAATACCCATTTCAATTGCTTGTACGTTTGGATCTATTTGAGATAGATTGATTTCTTACTATGCCTCTTCATCTCATACTGCCATTCATTGGATTGGGTTTTAGGGAAAACATCATGAGAAGAAAACCCCATTGTTAATGGGACAACCCATGGTTTCCTGCAGATGTTTCCCCAAAAAATCATCCTGAAGCGAACCGCAAGGAAGCACTGAGCGTCTCTGCAACCGAGCGTCTCTCCACGTCAACCGTCTGGACCGTCTCAAAGGTCTCAACTGTCTCAATCTGAACCACTTGAAGCCGTCCTGGAGGATGGAGTCCAACGGGAAATCGAAACATATTCACCACGAAATTGGGGTTTATGACGTTAATGAGGGCTGTGTTTCATTGGGGGAAAACTAGTTTTCATATGAATGTAGTTAAACATGCTTTTTCACATGTATGTACATATCATACATTACATATACATTACATATACTAACTTAATAAAGTTTTGCACGTCAACGTGGCCTAACCCACTCGACTAGACAAACGACCACCTTTTAGCGCAGCCCCGCGCCTAAGCTTTCAGCTGCCTGGCTTCCCCGTGTGGATGTTCTCCCAACAAATGGGGGTTTCGGGTTTCCATAAATGGGTGATACTCCGCTGGATGATTTCTAGTGGAACATCCGAAAATCAAATGGATGATTTTTAGGCGTGCCCATGCGTGCCCCCATTTTGGGAAACCCCCACATATCCAAGTTGTAGGAAGTTCCATGGTCATCAAGCCACTGAATGTCCCAAATGGCATCCTTTAGCTACAGTCTAGAGAGTCTTGTCGGATCTGTTTGTTTCTCCTAGCGTCTAGTAAGTAGGATGTCATCATGATTGCAAGGACATGGCTGCGGTCGATTTCCGTTGACCTGCTCTGGACACATCCCATCATCACCATCATCATCATCATCATCATCATCATCCTCTTCGTCATCATCATCGTCGTCGTCATCATCGTCGTAGTCGTCATCATCTTCATCATCTCCCTCATTGCATGTCTTGAGAAAAAAACTCCGACATTCGTTTACCTTCAACCAAAAAAAGGACTACGCCTGATGAGCCAAAGACTTGTCTGAAAGGGGAGACCTTGAACATGGCAAACTATGTTGCGAATCTTGTCGTGGAAGCATGCATGCTTCTTATCCCTTTCAATTTTCAATATCATGGAATAGGTGTCCCAAAAATGTGAAACCTGTGACTTCCAAGCAACATCCAGCACCGCTGAAATGGCATGGTCTAATTTGCTCGGATCTTGGACATGAAGGAAATCTTATTGATTCGGGGGGAACAAAAGGAACCTCAAAACAAGGCCAAACCGCCAGCTAAACATGATATACTTGAAGTAATTCTTGATTTTGAGGTATATGAAGGACATATCAATTTTGGGCCAGCTTTCCCGCAAGCAAAACAACTATAACCATCTATCTCCATAATATACACATATACTTCATATAACACACATTATCTCTATCTCTACTATGCACCCCTACTGTAATCCTACTATATCTATGTTAGATGATTTGCATCTATATCAATATACAATAATATAATATAATATACATTTACATAATCATGGCATAGATTTTATGTACATTTACAAGCTACATAAGATATATTTATACATTTGGTTGTTTCCCAAAATAGGAGGTACCCCTAAATCATCCATGTTATCTTCGGATTTTCCCTTATAAATCATCCAGCTATTGGGGATTCCCCGCGCTGGAAGGTGGCCTTGGCATCTTCCTCCACCGCCTCCTTGACCGCCTGGGACGCCACGTCGGAGACGATCTTCAGAAGTGCGGCCTTGGGGCGACCGGACGCGAAAAGGCCGTCGAACAACGCGTGGAAAAACTGGGAAAGCCCTGGTTTATACTGAAGAAATATGAATATCTGATATGATATGAATTTATATATACAGAATCAATATGAATCAATGATCATGTATATATATATTACAGTATATCTGATAACATCTAATTAATAAGGATTCAAGATCATTGAAGGTAGTCCATGATGAGATTGATCTTCGGACTTGGATCAGCATAGACCATGAATTTGCCATTCCAAAGCCATCCAGCAGTCATGCAAAGTCTTTTTATCCGATGTAGTAAAGAGTGAGACCTGTAAGGCTGCTACCCGAGAAATGACACCAACCCTTCAACTGCAAATCCTGCACCATGACTTCCGTGCCATTCTGAGTCATCGGCTGTGACGACAAGCCCGACTGCATAGACCTGGGAGTTTGCTGCTTAGGTGAGAAATTATTGTGCAATGATTCATAATAATAATCATCATTCATCATATCAACATCTTAATATAATACATGTCCTTAATATATAAATATATATAATAATCTGATACAGTATGATACAAGTATACAATTAACAATGATTATCCAATATAATTACAGGATGGTGCCCCTCAGTTATAAGTTGGTTTATAAACCCCATGAATACTATAGTTATATCTGCCATAAACCATAGGTTTAATGGGAGTTATTTGCACCAACTTAGCTAACTATGGGGCACCACCTTGTACGAAACTTTCATGGATCTTGGAGGGTGCCTAGATGTTGACTGCATCATATTGCAGGCCGTAGAGAATCGGGTCCAAACGCTTGACACAGAGAAAGAAAAAAGGGACAGCTATAGAACATCATGTTGCGAAGAGATGTAATTTATTTATTTATATATATATTTCATTATATTTCATTATATTTCTATACTCGTCTGCAAGAGCACAACTCAATTCCTTTCACTTTTCATACTCTGTGCTCTCACCTTCTCTTTGCCTTGTGGAGTCAGAGGAGCTTCATGCTCTGCAAAGCAGCAAACGTGCCGATGTCGTTTTCGTGGACCGATTTCCGGGCGTGCTGGGACCCGGCAAACTTTGCTGGGACCCCAACATACCAAGGTTGGCTGCCGCCATCTGACATCACGTCGCGAGCTGCGGTAGCAGCATACACAAGCCCAATGGTTCCTGCAGAAAGTGCTGAGTGATTCACTGTTACGAGGGTCTTGGAATCTGCACTGCCAAGTTATGGGAACCGGAATAACCAGACACTTTGATCCAATGATTCTCAAACAACCTGGCGTGAGACATATTAATTGCTAATCCCATCCCCCTAAGATTCAGCATCCCCGAAAAACTTGTCCCAAATATGTATACAGTACATCTAATTCAACGATGCTTTCGTATGTGTTTCTCCAAGGAAATCGCAGATGTCACACCTGGAGCAAAGCCCAAAGCCGTGGCCAGGAGGAAGTCCCCGAAGCCACAGCTACTGAGGCCGTAGACCTTGGAGGAGCCCAGCAACTGCTTAGCCCCGGCGGTTTTTCTGTGATCATTTACGGGCTGGGGAAAAAACACCAGCTACATACTAATATATATATATATATCTAATCTATATATATATATATATATACATAGCCTATTGGGATAATTTTCCACGTATGCTTCCAAAACATCAAATAAGGGCAGTAATACGAACTTGATGTGCCTGGCACTTCGCTGAGCTCTGGGGTCACGAGACATAGTTCGAAAGGGCGAATGGCAGCAGGGGAGAGAGACGCCTTGGACTGGGGATGGTTGGGATGGTGAACCATCCCCAAAATCACCATGAAAATTGATATAGAATGATATAAATGGGTGGTAAAACATGGTAAAACCATGAATTCTATTCAATTCTATGGGTGGTAAAAATGATTGCTTTAGTATGTTTTAGTAACATGATCACATTCTCTCTCAGATATGACTTTCATTGACTTTCATTGACTTTCACTCTCCTTTCGAAGCTTCTGCCAACTCTGCTGAATGGAAGTAGATCATTGCTTGTGACCTCTTTGCAAGTATCAAGTTCCAAGTCTCGAGAAAAAATAATTGCGGGAACTAATTCCCAACCCCCAACCCCAATCCCCCAAGCCCAACCCCCAACCCCAAGCCCATCTCATGAGGAAAGAAAAAACAACCCAATCGTGGCCGGGTGGCAGCAGGAAGATGATCTTAAAGCCCTCGCGCCTGGGCGGTGACATCACCAAATTGGTGATCGACCCCCTAGAAAATATTATGTTAGTTAATTGGTGATTATACCTATCTATCCATGTTGGAGGATGAAAAAACCCTTGGCATTTTGACAAACACGCACGCACCATTCAAGAATTGAAACCACAAGTCTACCGTGGTGTTCTCCCCTCCAGTTCGTGGTCAAATAGTGACATGTTCATATCCGTCAGGTTTTCATGGGTCTGAATCGTGGCTACAAAGCAATCCACATTGTGATTCCTTTTCTTACTGGAACGCTTGATCTCGCGCTTTCACAAGTCACATTGAACCGTAGACTCAGACCCAAACAGTTTGGATGTTGATGGATATTGACTGACTGATATTGTTTGTCTTGATTTCCACTGTATCACCATAGCGGTAAACTGACGCATCATATATAGATGATTATAGATGCATTTCGTTTCTCTACGTTGAGATCGAGAAAAGAAATTGCTCACCAAATCTCACCAACATCTTGGGGGACCATGATGAATTTTCCTAGACTTTTCCTTCTGCAAGACACTTTGGTTGGCCCAAATAGATGCCCCCAGCGCAAATAAATGGGTGCAGCAGCCTCTTTTGATTCATTTCTACTGATCTAAAACTGGCACTTTAATGCCGGTGTGACAGAATCGGACTCAGTCTTGATGGGTGGCTGTCTCTGTAACACAATGTATATGTTAGTTGTTCCCTTTTACACTCCTGAAACCAAACAGGCAAGGCTACTAGCACCTGGAGAACATGAACAGCAATAAGGATCATACTTGACTTTGCTTCCCTACAGATCTCTATTTGCAGCTGCTTTCGGCAGCTTGAATCCGATCATGAACAGCTATCAGCGGCAGTGGTTTGATCCCAATTGTAAAATGGCTCGAGAAAAACACTCGAAGCATCTCGAAGCGTCAGAATGCTCAAGAACTCAGATTTCGCCCAAGTTCTAATGAAAAGATCAGGATGGCCATCTCGATTGCGGCTGATGTTATGGGTCCGTCCAAACTAGCCTTCTGTTCTCACCAAAATGGCTGGAATTTATGGAAAGTCATTCCTCCATTCAATGTGATTGTATGTGATTCTTGCGGGGCAGCAACGATGAAATATCATGAAATGCTAAATCCTTACAGATTTGGGCCATCCTGTGCTGTGGCACAAATTGCTCAGTCATCGTATTGCTGGCACCTTGGATATCTTGGATGCACAGCATGTGATGCACTCAATGTTATAACTACAATCAGAGTCAACGCCATATACCAGTCAAATATACGCCAGAAAAACCAGTCATTTATATAGTCACTATCTTCTTTCCCAGTGATAATTCACCACTGACATCAACATGTTCACTTTGAATCAGCTGTCTCATGAATCATCACGATTCATCCTGTCCCGGGTATGTCACGTTTGGGCTGCTCGATGAAGAGTATCTGCCAAGACCTTGAAGTGTGGTGACATCCGTGCTGGAGAAAAACGATATGGAAATGTGTGCTAGCGGCAAACCATGGTATATGACGGTTGATCAATGTTGATTATCCATCTCACAATGGGAATCCCAATAATCATGGTTATTTAACTTCCCATTCATGGTTTGATGGCCGTCCCCCAACATGGGAAACTAGCCGCCATGTTTTGACCGTACAGTTGAGGTCGACGCTTGAGGGTCCAACGCCTCTGGAAAAGTTGTGACACCAGGAGGCAAAGGATGGCAGAGATATGCAGAGATATCCAGTGAAGATTAACTGACTTGCTACGGGTTAAATGATTTCTGCAAATTAACTTGTGGTGATACATTTCTTCAGAACATGATCAACTTGTGCAGCTTTCCACTTAGAATCCCAAACATCATAAAAACAATTTCACTCAGCCAAGACAGTGCTGGATCTGCGTTTATGATGCAAACATGCTGCGCAGGACCTAGTGACTAGGAGGTTTTAATGAGCCTCCAGTTTGTGGAGCCTTTGGGGTTGCTATAAATCTACCAACTATTGCTGTTTTTGTTGATATTCCCCAATATATCACCATGTTAGAGTTGCTTTCCTGCACCATATATCACCATACCATATGTATGCCATATGTATGCCATTAATCATATCCATAGCCTCTCTGAGCTGCTTATGAGTGAGCATTGGCTTACTGTGGCTGACCTTCTCGAACAATTCCCATGAACATCGAAAGAATTCAAACCGTACCTTGGCGAATAATAATCTCGTTTCACTTCTGAACATTCCTGAACTTCAATCCCTCCCAACCTCTCCCAAGAAACCCGATACATCGCCAATCTTAGACACCTTGCGAAAAGATTCCAAAACCACATTCGCTACTTAGTACATTTTCATATGCATATATGAAAATACTACTGTTTATACCAAGAGACAACAAACCATTTATACCAAGTATGGTGGCTTCCTGCAAAAAATACTTGTCATTGGGGATCCTCATCCTTAGAAAAATACCTTTTCAAACACCCCTTCGAATTCCCCCTGGTAATTAAACTTAAAGCTATTGAAATGGCCATAGAAATTAGATGAACTAGTTGATTTACCTATTATTAATGGTGATTTTCTGTAGCTATCCCAGTTTACCAGGAGGCATTTTTTCCCTCCCAGGTCGAACCGCTCAGAACCGCATCGCTGCCTGGCATGTGCGCAGGATCTGACCTGGAGCTGAGGCCTCAGTTGCAGCATGTTGCAGACTGTATACCGCTATAAAGTTGTCGTTTTTATACGCTATAACAAAGTACATACCCTCTGGTAAACTAACGTAGCTATGGAAAATCACCATTATTAATGGGTAAATCCACTATAAATGGCCATTTTCAATAGCTATGTTAAATTACCAGAGGGTACATATATTGGCTTGTGGATGATAATTATGATTCATTTTCATTGGATATAATATAAATGTGGATGATAAATGATGATAACTGAATCTTGGATGGATTGATTTTCATGATCTGAAAAAGTGGATTCCTGTGGATAATAGTGAATGATTATAGATGATGATAGGAAATAGATGGAAATAGTAGTTTATGATAATTAATGGATAATTCATCCACTTTGGATATAGATAATAACAGCGGATGACAATTATCTCAGAGGATGATAATTAATGATAATCTCAGTGAATATACTCAGTGGATGACGATTGTCTTCACCTCTAGGGATTGCTTTCGAAAGATTTCGGAAGGTAAACTCCGCACAATTTCCTGACATGTCCTGAAACCAATTTTCGGAATAGAATGATTCCCATGGCTGATTGTCTTCACAACTTTCTGGAAAAGCCCTAAAGTTTGAAGAGAGTTTCAGGCGGAAACTCTTCTCAAGTTCACTTGAAGTGACCTTCCTCCTGAAGTTCGTGATGAATGCTGACCACATCTTCCAAGGGCCATTCAGCTCCTGCCTGAGGTTGCGGCCGAAGCCTGTTCCGCATTGGACTTGCAGTCAATGAGATCCTCAAAAGGATGAGCCGGATGAGCCAGCTGCATTTATAGTCCAACTGAATCTGAATGGCTCAAACGAAGTGCTGAGCCGTTCCACAGCTTGCAATTTACATTCATTTGTGGTTGTTCATTTAAACTCAAATCTCTCGACATCTCTTAGGAATCTCAGTGATTGTCTGATGCTTGCAACTATATAGCTATGTTTGAAACATATTTGTGATATTTGCTTATATTATCTTATATTTGTTGGTTATAAACCCATGAACTATGGTTCTATTCCCTAGAAACCCTAGTGAACCAAGTTGCAGTCCCAGATCCCCAGCAGATTTCACACCGTGAATCTAGGTTGCCCGACGCGCGCATCTTGCGGCACGACTTGCAGCTCGTCCAACACGAGTTCCATTCCTGGCTCCGTGCTGCAACTTTGGGAATGATGGAAGGGACCTTTTCCAAAAGCCCAATGGACCCAACATAAACTCACTCCATGCTACACAACATGTGCAGAAATGTGAGTGCAGAAATAATCATTCCAATAATCTTTCGAATATAACTTTGACTTGCCGAGACAAGTTTGCCCAAATTGTTGGCTCATGAAATATGCCTTCTGCACATCGTTCAAACGCAACGCAAGATACGCAAGCTGCACAAATCACTCAATGATACTCAATGAATCTCCCGAAATGTTGCACTCAATGAATCTCCTGATACAGGGAAGAGATCAGTAAAGGCCTGCAGCACCGCAAAAAGCGGTGCAGTTAACATGGCAAGCTGGGAAATCCACCATTTTTGCGAACTTTCAATGGGAGAAACATCGAAAAAAACAGGGGGATTTTCCGAATTGCCATGTGAAAAATCAATGAAGGGTATATAGTATATTGGAAGATGTGCTTTATGCTTGTAGCAAAAATGTGACAGGTGAGGACTTCAAAATAGAGCTGCGGCCTGAGTCTTGCTGGGTGACATATGAATTCAAGACCGTGGGAACCATAATTCTGGTCAGTTTGGAATGATGAAAAATATATCAACACCGATCCGCTGCTAATTAAAGGTTAAACACTTCGTAAATAACTGGTTGGTTGGTGGTTAACCTACCCCTCTGAAAAAATATGAGTTCGTCAGTTGGGATGATGACATTCCCTATATGATGGGAAACTCATAAAATTCCATGGTTCCAGTCACCACCAATCAGTGATTATTAACCATTATTTATCATCATTAACCATCATTATCCCATAAAAGTCATGTTCCAAACCACCAATCAAGTAAGTAATCGTGTTCAACTGTTGGGATGAAAAGTAAATCAAATGTTTCGGGGATTTCGCAGCGTCGCCTGACACCATGGGCTGATCCGGAGTGTGGGCTGGCCCATGGAGTCGACCAAGCCGCCCTTGGCATGTGCCCAACCTGCAATGCCTCAGCCATCAACGGCTCCGAGATCTCCGAGCTTCAAGGGTTCCAAGATGTTCCAGGTAGAATATGCAAAAACCATCAAAAACCAAGTAATTAAACATGCAATCCACGGCTCATTGGTTGCCTAATTTGTCCTAATTTTCGATGATCTCAAGGTCATGTCATGTGGAATTTCTTCAGATTGGGCTTTCTTCCAGTCATATCTCGTATCAGAGTCTCCTGCCTCCCAAGAGGCTTTTCAGTTGGATGCTAGCAGCCTAGGTGTGGCACGTCGCCACCAGTGATGGCAGGGGTCTGACTTGGGGAGCTGCTGCAGTGTGGACCCACAATTTCTTGGTCATTTTTAGTATGAACCCCAAAACCATCGCTTTTTTTCCGCATTTTTTTATCATTTACCCTCCAGTATCCTCCAGTAAACTGACATAGCCATGGAAAACGCCAATGTCAAAGTAGATCAGTTCCAAGTGGGTTCCAGCCAAACTGAAAGCCATGGGATAGCTGCCATATGCTGCCATAGCTGCCATTGCTATCTTAGTTTACTCCCCCGGGGACCGTTCCTTTTGGGGGTCACAGGTCACTCCGCCGGGAAACCACCTTGGTCGCACCAAACTTTTCAGGATCTGTCAGCAGCTCCTGGCAGATCCTGTCGAGTCTGCAGGAGGGATTCAAAAGCAACAACAAATGGGGGTTCTAACATGTGTATATAAATCCATTAGAACCCACAACCATGATAACCAACTAACATGTTTCATACATTTTCATACACAACAAGAAGGGGATTCATAACCAACAACAAATGCGGGATTTGGGAATGACATGGAATGACCAACACTATAACATAATAAGTGGACATTCTAACATGATGTAACAAGTGGAAACCAAATGGAAGTTCTATGGGAGATCATATTCTAACATGATGCAACCGCACAGGTTTGTCGGAAAATAGTGAATTAAAAGCCCTAAGAATACCATTTCAATAAGGTTCTAAAACCATGAAATGTGGAGGTAGCCTATTTTCAGACAATAGCCTTTGATCCATCAATCTCCTCCCCACCCCAATATCCCCAATTACGCTTCGGTGGCCATAATCAATAACCACATATGCACCATGGTCGAAACATGGTATATGGAGTATGGTCATTCCACCGTCATTTGGGATTCCTTACAACGGGTATATTCACCCCTGTCAATAGGGGATGACCATACCCCAATATACTGTACCTCATTATAACCCAACTGGCGTAACCCGGCCTTCCGGAACGACCTCCCACCGTGCAAAATAGGATGAAGGTGTACCCATTCAAACTCTCGGCGGTGGCATTTGAAACCTGACACCGGCAAAGAGAAATCACTTAGACCCAGCAAGCGCTGGTCACCGCTGGTCCTAAGGGATGCTAAATTTAGGTGGCTAATGATTTGAGATGTGACTGACCTAATGATTCCTATGCAATAAACCCATGCATGAACCATCCCAAATTCACCAGGTTTTTGGCATTGGGCTCACCACACTGTCAAACTGAGACGCTGGCCATCTTCAGGAAAGCATCCTGACACTGCTGACTATTCTGACCCAGTGAAAAAAAACAAAAACATGACTGGTAGGCACTGGCAGCAACTGAAAATGCAGCTTGGCAAATCTTAAAACATCTTAAAGCCTTGAAAATATGAAATCTAGGATCTACGAGTGCGTATTACAGTATGTTTCGACTACGATGAAGTGGCGTGGTGGCACCGTTCGAAATCCTCTAAAGAAATTGCAGGCCAACCATCTTCAGTGTCTATATGATGCCCATATACCCGGTTCAAAAACACATAATGTTTTCTCAAGTGAAAATACATTGGCAAATCATGAGCACATGTTTCATGAATTGTTTGTGCGGGGTAAAACAATAGAAGTGCGCAAAACAACAAACATCTCATGGCTAATCATTTTCCACCTTCAAATGACCAGTTTTGGGGGTATAATTACCCAATTTGGATCCAAGGGGTTCTTAAGTCATTGGGGATCCCCAAGTCTTGGCCCCAAGTCACCAAGTCACCATGGGTTTCAATATTGTCATGGACTCATTTTGGATGATTTGGGTATCACATTTTCGGAAACCTTCATTGTCAGTACTACACTCATCTTGCAACCAAAGGTCCTTGAAGATGGTGGGACACCCGGGAGATGAAATGGTTGACACCTCAAAGTTCACTGCGGCTGGGCGGTAGCATCAAGCATTGAGATCAAAGCACCATTGGGATTTCACCAAGAAAAAGGGGACCAGAAAGGGATTGTTTCACCAATCAACTACTCAACTAATCATAAGGTTTATGATCCACACCACAGCTACGCCCGGCTGGAACATAGGAAAATAGTTCTGCTGAACAAGGGGCACCACAATTTTTCAGAATGCAAACCAGATAATCAACAACGGAAAAGGGGCAAACCATCATTTTAATTTCTACACATAAGTCACACATGCTGTAGCTACAGTAGTGATATAGACATTTATTACACACATATATGTAAAAACCGGAATGAATACATACATATATATATATTATAATTAATTATTATATTATATTATATTATATTACTGTATATTATATTATATTATATTATATATTATATTATAATTAATTATTATATTATATTATACTATATTATATTATATTATATATTATATTATACTATATTATATTATATTATACTATATTATACTATATTATATTATATTATATTTTATATTATGTTATATTATATTAAATTATATAAAATTATATTATATTATATTTATATTGTATTAAATTATATTATGATGTGTTATGTTATATTATATCATATTATGTTATATGACATGAAATTACAATATATTAAATTATAATTTATTACATTAAATTAAACTATATTATGTTATAGCAAATTATATTATATTAAATATATTAAATAAATTCAATATATTAAACTATAGTATATCATATTATTTCATTTTAAAATAAAAAAACAAACACAATAAAAATCATAGTTCACCTGCATTAAATATATTATTGAAATAATATATAAGTTATACAAATATATACAAACTAAAAAAATAAATAATGAAAAATATATATAAAACAAACAAATATACATTATATATATATATACGGTAAAATAAATACAAATATATATATATATATGCATTAAAGATTATACATATTAAAAAACAATAAATAACATAAATATAATCTAAATAATACATATGAAAGATAAAAACATATTATGTATATAAAATCTGAAAAACTGATAAATTTATTTTTAATACAAAAATATACTACATATAATAAATAATACGCATAAAATAATATATGCATATAATATAATATAAATATAGGATATACAATATATATTATATAAAAGAAAAATATATATCAAAAAAAACAATATATATAAATATAATATAGAAAAATGAAAATACATTATAAAGAATAATGAAAAATTAATAATTAATTATATATAATAATATATATATATGTTATATAAACATATAGATAATATATAGTATAAATTTGAAATAACAACAATATTTAAAAAATATAATATATCATTTATTAAATAATATATATATTTTTTAAATACTATATATTATATGTTATTGCAAATATAAAGTATATAATAGTAAGCATATATATATAAATAGAATATAAAACAAATACTACATAAAAAATAAAATATATAAAATATACATATTATATATAAAATAAAACGTATATACATAATATACTGTAAAATGATTTGAATATATTAAAATATAAATAATCAAAAACAATCCAATATATACACTGTATATTTTCTTATGTAATAATATATATTATTTGAAAAATGAAATATAAAATATGTTGATATACAACATATCATTATTTAAAAATAAAAATGCCAAATACAATATATATATATATATATATTGCAAATATATAGATATATATATTACATATATATATATTCAAAAAATACTTATAATATATAATACAACATCATAAGCTATAGTTTAATAAAATATGGTGTAATATATAATAAGTTCAATTAAAATAAAATAATATAGTAAAGTATTATATAATATAGTAAAGTATTAAATAATATAGTAAAGTAGTATATAATATGATATAATCTATAATCAAATATATAACGGATATTCTATACATAAAAAATATTTCTTATATAGAGGGTCGGTATGGTCTAGTGGAAAAGACGCATCCCTCATGCGTCAGACCCGGGTTCAATACCCGGGTGCAACACTAGGCGGACAGGCGGACCACCACCCCACCCCTGCAGTTAAGGAGATGAGCTAGGGTGTGGTCCGTATAGAACCAGTCACATACCTTATAAATAATATATAGTCTAAATTACATATATATATGTATTATTTGAAAACATAATATCACATTTATACGAAAAATATTGGTACATAAGTAATATCACAAAGATACATCTTCAATTTTGCTTCCTACTGCTATGGCCTCCTCTTTTGGAGCAATGCACACCCTCTGCGCCTCCACTTCTTCTGGCGTACGCACATCCACAAAGACATACCCTGTAGATCTGCCGACCTGCGTGGAACCCTGGTTGCACCGTACGATTTTTCTGAAAGGACTGAAATTGTCAGAGACCTCAAGCAACATGGATATTGAATTCTTTTAATGTGCATTTGGCTTACTCTTGAGATCCTGTGATTCCACATACTGCCTGACTTCGTTGCCATTTTTTTCCGATTGTTCAGCTGGAGGCTATTGCGCAAATGTTCCGATGCATTGTTGGATACGGGGGTCTCTTAAGTCATGGGGGATCCGCAAGTCACCATGGGTTTCAATACTAAGTCATGGACTGTGATGACTTGGACGATTCCGCGGTATCCCTGGGATTGGAAACCTCATATGAACGTTATATATAGTTGGTATTGGTCATCCAACGGTCTTGGCATGCCTTTTCAGCAGTCACGTGCCCGCAAGCCTCCTCTTCATGTCGAATGGATCTGATGATATCCTGGGGCTTGGTGGGCCATAGCATGACATAGCACCAACTCAGCCAGCCCATACATGGTAAATTGGGATCCAATATGCTGAAAAAATATCGAACCGTTTATTATGGCACAACAAATGTTTTCTTGCATGGTGAACTTCTCAGAAAATCATTGGGCGGTGAGGATCAAATGGAATCTGAAAGGAGTCATGGAATTTGCATCAAATGTATTCAAATGTTAACAAGAAAACAAAGTGCGAACGGGTTCTCAGATCCACCATGTCGCAAGCTGATGGTGCTATGTCCGTTGTCCTCCGCATCGAGACAAAGCACCGATGGGCAATACCGCAAACGCACCTGCGGAATCAGTTTCCCGAGAAACGTCCCCGGGACAACCCCAAATAAAGACCGAAACATACCTAAGCAACATTTTGTGCGGTAACCATCACATTTTCTTATGGCGCTGATCGCGCGATATGTGCGCTCTTTGACCTGTGACAACCATGAAACAACCGAATCAATAGGAGTTTCACCTCAAAAGACAAAAAACATCAGAAAACAACATCCGACTCAAATTAGCAGGACACCCAACCCTTGGACAAGAACAAATAATGACGACTGCAAACAGACATGCGACCAAGGTGTGTACCGGCCCAAGTGCTACCAGTAGTGAACAAGACATGACCGATCTCAACAGCTGCATATGTTCTGCCTCCCATGCCACTTTGCGCAATCTCTGCGACCTGGGACATTGCTTAGCAAACAGGAGATGAAAAATAATAACAACAACCACATGACAAGAATAGGACTTAAAAAAACTGGAAAGAATCTTGAAAAATCAACAGAAGTCACGCAAGCCTCCAACCACGCAAAAGCAATACATGCTCCTTTCGTATAATTCATAGTACTTAGGTATTGGTCAAACACAAATATTTTTCATGGGCCCAACAATTCCAACAAAAATGGCTGAACAATTTGTTTTAAGCTTTATGCTTGTGAACGTTTGTGACCAGTTTGGGATCATTCAATTCAATTCATTTCGGCCCAATCCCAATAAATTCTAACCTTGTTTTTGGTAAGGTCCCCTCGAGGGCGTCGCGGAGTGTTGTCTTTTTTTCATGTTTGCGTTATTTTCGAAGCATCCATTTCATGCCACGTTTTACAGTGTTTTCTTCTGCTTCGTTGCATTTTCTGCTGTTTTTTACTGTGTTTTTTGTGACGTGCTTCCTGTGATAGTTGCGTGTCGGCATGCCAGGGTTTTGGCTTGGGGGGGTGGGTGGGGGGGGGGTGCGTGGGGTGGGGTGGGGGGGGGGGTTGGGGGGGTGTTGGGGGGGGGGATGATAACGTTCTTGTTTATTAACGTTCTTGCATCTGCGTTCTTGACACGCTTTTCACTTCTGCAAGTGACGGTTTGACACGCGTTGGATGTTTTGGTTTTGATATGTTGACGTTGGTGTCCGGTGGCGTGTGGGCATGGGGTTGGGTTTGGGGGGATTACAACGTTCACGTTAACCAGCGTACTTGCAACTACTTCCTTACACGCATTTCTTATTTGCAATTCATATCATCATCATCTCCAACATCATCATCATTATCAACATAATCATCATCATTAACATCATCATCAACATGATCATCATCGTCAACATCATCATTATCATCATCATGATCAACATGCCCATCATCATTATCAACATCATCATTCTCATCATCATGATCAACATGATCATCATCATCATATCATCATCATCATCATCATCATCATCAACAACAACATGATTATCAACATGATCATCAACATGATCATCATCATTATCATCATCATCAATCGCTTCGGTGAGGTAAAAAAAAAGTTACTTCGGAGACCCCTCTTGGAAGATGCATTTTAAAAAACTTCACGAAATGCAGGTTTTAAAGGCGTTGTGCGTTGAAAAACGCGCGACGCCCTCGAGGGGACCTTCCCTTGTTTTTCCCCAAGTCCAGGACCGAGCTCAACAACGAACCAGGCTCCCCGCCGCACGTGGGATGCGCGCAGCAGGCTTCTTTCAGGCGAGTTTTCCGGCTCCCTTGAGCGCAGCCACTGAATTGAGAGTTATGAAGCCACACCAAAACCAAAGCTACAAAAGGCAACGTGTAGCTATGCTATCTATATCTAGGTCATTTCTAAAAGAGAGAGAGAGAGAGAGCATAGGTGCTAAATCACTGAGGCGATTAACAGTTGATGCTACGCAGCAGCTGACAATTGGCACGATGCAAATCGACGCTCAAGGGCCCTGATGATTTGGGCCGATGCATAGGATGTGCAGACATAGATGCTCACATGATGTGAGGGAGGTATGTGCACCTGATGTCTGTCAACACCCCTCTTGGTTGATGGCTCTAGAGATGCCAGCCCAATCACACGCAGTGATGCAAGAACCGTTGAAGCTCAATCGGCGCTTTGACAAAATGCAAAAACGATTCTTTGATAACACATACATTGATTACGCTGGATGCTGGTGAAAAGATGCTTTTTCTGTACAGAAGGAAGTCGATGCCTCAAGACTCTCAATGAGAGTTTTCAAACTATCCTGTTTGTCAAGTAAACAAGACGTGTTCTTTCCCTTCGATTCTGATCCCCGACGTCTCAAGGTGGCACTCAGATGGTGTTGCCCTCGGCGACTTTCATCTCGTGACCTTGATCATGAGTGGATGGCACGCAGGGCCTGTCACCCAATATGGGCAAATTATTTTGAAGCAAGACGGCCTGATTCTCATTGATGAACTCGAGTTGTGGTGGTCACTGTCACCACAATACCTCATCCTTCAAGGCTTGGGGGTCACTGCTCCGTTACCGTATAAAAATCATTGATGTGATTCACAGTTGGTTCTATGCAGCAGCTGACTTTTGGCACCATGCAAATCGATGCTCAAAGGCCCTGATGACTTGGGCCGATGCACAGGATGTGCAGACATAGATGCTCACATGATGTGAGGGAGGTATGTGCACATGATGTCTGTTTACAATTTGGAGAGAGAGGGGGAGAGAGAGAGAGAGAGGTCTGAGACTAGTCGGGTAACCATCAGGGAAATAAAAGAGACATTGTTTTTGCTCAAAAATTTGGAAACTCTGACAACTTGGAACTTGGAACTCCTCACTAGCTCAAAACAGTCTTTGGACTGCTTGACTAAGCTCCGGACAGAAACTGTGGTGCAGCAATTTCGGGGCAGTGCAGAGTGCAACCTGCTGAGATTCAGAAGTATAGAGAGAGATAATATATATAATATAATTCCAAAGCAGGGGTTGCTCAAAACCCAAGGAGCCAGGTTCGTCACGGCTGATCACTTTCTACTGCTCTTACCCTTTGACATCCTTTGACCATTTGCACTTCAGCTCTGATTCTTGTGAGGTGGTCGATCTTAGTTGTGCCACATCCTGAATGCCAATCGTTTCCAACCTTCCAACCAGCTGTGCCACGAACTCTAGCGCCAGCTGTGCCAAGAAACAAAACCAACATGTTTTCAGCAGGGCCAGGGCGTTGAATCAATCTGTTTGGGGCCCAGCCATAACTATATATGTCATAGCTATGGACCAGCTAGCTCAATGAGAAGGACCATCCATCAGCACCCCACCATCAGCACCTCGAGTTGGAAAGAAGGCGCTAAGTTCCCACGACCAACAGTGAACCAGGCGACAAGGCAAGCCTCCGCACGTTGGGTGGTGGTGGTGGATGACTGGCCGGGTACGAGTCAGATACTGAAAACTGCCGACAAAACTTGATTCACCAGGGCCACTTGAGTGCGTGGCCAGTGCTTGGCTGAATGAGCTGTCCACCCTGGGCTCTTGGGAAGTCATCGGCTCAGTTGGAAACGCTCAAACCAATATATGTATGTATATATATATATCTGGCTTCTATAATATAAATATATATATATATATGTATTTTACTATTATATGATATATATGGCAATATATATATATGGCTATACCGTAGTCATATATATATATATATTCTGGATGGCTTCTACTACTGGTTGCTTGAGATTCCCTAAGCCCATTGCAGCAGTATAGGCTTTGTTTGTCACCCAATTCCTTTCGGCTAGTTTTCAAAGACACATTTGCAGCAAACAATGGAAAATCCCAATTTTTACGAGGAAAACTCACTATTTCTATGGCCCTTTTCAATAGCTTTTTGTATGTTTACTAGAGGGTATTCATCTTGTGTTTCCCGCCCAACTGCATCCCCTGTTGGCAATATCTGACGGTATCCTTGGTGCATCCTGAGGGCACCCCTTCAAATCCCATCATCATGATCCCACCAATATCCCATATATATAAATATATATATAATGACTTGTCCTCAACGATTACCATCACTGTCTGCTTGATCATAATCCCATGGATACATCAATCTATACAGATTTATATTATATTCCATTGCTAATACGTTCTACTAAGATTTCACTTGGATGTATTGCACATGTACTAAGGTTTACTTGAAGCTTTAAATAATTTAACATCTCATGGGTCAAGTTCCATCGCCAGCAATATACCATCAATAGATCCCTGTAACAAAAACATCAGGGCCATTCAGATTTATATCCCATGTTGTATCCCATGTTGTATCCTATTGGCCGTCCCGAGAAAATTGATCATCACTTGACATCAAGTCATAAGTGCAGCAAGCTTTACATTGCCGAGAAATGTCTGATTGATCTGAGTGCATTAATATGCATTTACACGGAATAACAAGTTAGTTTCGCGACTCCAACATTTCCTTACTGTGATATACTGTGATACTTGGCCGATTGATGTACGTGGATTCCCGAAGCAAACTCTGCGGCATGAAAGGTACAGAATTCCAAAAAGAATATGGTGACCAAAAATGTCAAAACGACTAGAGGCTTTTTAAAGCCTATGTAGCCCAAACCATGAAATCATATAAAGTCTAGTAAAACTCACTCACATTTACCCACATATACCCTTTAAAATCCTGTCAGCAGTGGGGCAAACCTATATATCTAGATTGGATAAGATATCTACCGTTATTTTTTTGCACAATACCATAATATAGTATCTCATTCGGATCCCATTTAAACATTAACATGCATATCTGACATGCTTGCTAGACCCCTGCTATATCATATTGCAAAATCATATTATTAATTGCATTGATACCCATAAATAGCTCATTCATATCCCATTGATGTGAACCCTGGGTTAGTCGACACTAGTTGATTAGAAATCGGGTGGTTACCCCGAAATCCGCCGGCCTGCCGGCGTGTCTTGTGGATCTTGCTTGTTCGTAGTTGTACTGTTTGTTTTGTCTTTGGTCTTTGTCTAGACTTTCCCCTTGGCGCGGATTTTTGCCTCGTCTAACTTGAAACCACCCCCCTGCATCATCCGCGTTGCGCTTTTCATCTTTGGTTTCAACCTTTGTTTACAGACATGATTCGGTTTCGTCAATCCACTTGCTTTTGTGCAGAACACCATTTACACGCGCAACCTTTCTATGTATGGCCTTTTCCAAAAACCTTGGTTCACACACTGCTTCGGTTTAATTTCAAACCCTGGTTTACGCAAACACCATGCTTTGTGTAAAAGCGCGTCTTCCTACTAAACAAAACGCTGATTCACAGAAAACAACGTGTTTTAAGTGTTTCACAGAAACACCATGTTTTACAGAAACATCTAGAAAAATCATGTTCTTGCTTCGCCCTTCTATCCTGGCTGCTGCTATGCTGAGCTGCACGCACTTGCACTTTATCTCCTCCTATGTCCTGTCTCTGCTATACATGTTTGAGACGCCAAAATCTTTTCAGTTGCGTCCATGGCCCTATCCTGACTGCTGCTACACTTTACTGCATGCACTTGCACTTTATCTCTCCTATCTCATGTCTCTGCTTTGAAGGTTTGAGAAACTCAAATAGCTCTGGCCGTGGTGGCCAGCGGAACACGCCAACGGCGGTTAAATAGTGACTTTGTCTGTCTCCAAAATGGCATTTCGGGATTGACATTCATATTCATGAAAATCATAAACATTCACTCATGGAAGGAAGTTTAGAAGTCAAACTTCCGACAATATGGACAGATGAAAAGCAGAGCTGGGCAGAGGCAGAGAGAAGAGAAGAGTAGAAGAGAGCAGATCAGAGAAGAGAAAGAGTCAGAAGAAAGAAGATGCAAATGCGCGAAAAGGTAGGAAAGTCGCGAAACACTGTGTTTTCCAATGATTTGTGGCTCCGGAGGGTCGAAAAGTAGGCTCGCTAAAGCGGCGGGTGCGGAGCCATCTGGCCAGATGAGAGATGGAAAAGTGCACGCCGTAGGTTAGGTAGGTTAGGTAGGTTAGGTAGGTTAGGTAGGTTAGGTTAGGTTAGGTAAGGTTAGGTAAGGTTAGGTAAGGTTAGGTTAGGGTAGGTTAGGGTAGGTTAGGGTAGGTAGGGTAGGTAGGGTAGGTAGGGTAGGTAGGGTAGGTAGGGTAGGTAGGTTAGGTAGGTTAGGTAGGTTAGGTAGGTTAGGTAGGTTAGGTAGGTTAGGTAGGTTAGGTAGGTTAGGTAGGTTAGGTAGGTTAGGTAGGTAGGTAGGTAAATAATCAGAGAAAGAGAAAGAAAGAGAGAGAAAGAGAGAGAGAGAGAAAGAGAGAGAAAGAGAGGAGACCTGTCGCTCCATCAGTGGCTTCGCTCTGTCATCCCTGATTCTCAACACCCAACCTTTCCTATAGGTTTCCTATTTTGAAACTTCCGCCACCGCCTTGTGCGGTACTACTGGTATTCATGATTTATTGGGATTTCCATGACTTTATTTCATGTTACTTGGATATCAACATCATATTCCATCATGAATATACTGGATATTCCATCATATTGGATTCTACTACAGTAATATTTAATTCATTTCTGGTTGGTGGTTGACCTACCCATCTGAACAAAATGCTCATCAGTTGGGATGATGACATTCCCTATATGATGGAAAGTCATAAAATACCATGGTTCCAAACCACCAACCAGATAAATATTTGTGTTCTACTAATGGTCAGTAAAAAATCTTGATATTCATCTGGTAATGGATCTTCCATCATATTGGATTCTATTTTAACCACTGGGATATTGGAACCACTGGTCAGTTCCTTTCATCTTCGCCATGGCATGGCGCACCTCATGGAGCCATGCCGCGATGCCGCCGCGCAGGTAATGCAACTTGTCCGCAATGATGGAGCCAGAAAGCTCCTGGGCACCGACATCCACCGAGGACTTGTTGACTGGTTGGTGGTGCAATACCCATCTTGAAAAATATGAGTTAGTCAATGGGAAGGATGACATCCCATATATTATGTTTTTTTTAAATGTTTGACCCACCAACCTGTTGAACAATGCCCAAGTCAAGCACAGCTACGGGTAGCATTTTCTGACCCAGATGTTCTGACCCAGCTACGGGGTAGAGTTGATCCATATGGGAACACTTTTGGGGCCGGGAACAGCCCCTGAAAAGCACATCCTCAAGCTCATGCAACTAGCAATGTCTATCAATGTTTGATACATCACAAATATTGTTATTTAATCAATTATATTATATACTTGTATAATTATATATAAATTACAAACTGCTGTAACTACTGTACCACCCAAAACTCCAAGTGCTGCTACTGATGAGCCATTTCTGGATCACACTTCATGAAGCCTGATGAACCCTGCGCCAAGTGATCGCAGTGCCTGGCACCACTCAGCCGAACGGCAGCCGATGCAACAATACCTGACCCGGAGATTGGTTTTTGACTTTCACTTTCCTGGGTTCCTTGTCTGCATAATATCATTCTCAAGGCAATATGTCTATTTGAATGATTTTGAATGTATATATATAATGTATCATCATGTATTATCTATATGCTGTTTAACCTATTGTATAGATTCTTTTATCCAACTGGCTGCACAAAACCGATTGTCGCGGCGGGATTTTTCTCGAAAAACCCATCCCCCATGGGACGATCCCCATGGGATGCTGGCTGGGGTGGTCCCTATAAAAATCAACATGGGTGGCCACCCCCCTATAAAAAAAAAAACACCCTTCTGGATTTTTTGTTTTTGCTGAGAAAGTAGGGTTCTGATGTTTCTGACCTGATGGTTCTGGTGCTGGCTTCGGATGATACAAATGGTTCAGGAAAGGATATGTATTGCCCAGAGTCAATGGAGGAGATGCTTTGTAGTTATGACAATATATATATATAGATGTATTGAAGAGATTCAAGGTACAGAATCCCCAAAATCGAGGACAATGATTGAAAAAAACGTGCATTTTTTCTTATTACTTTCTTATTAAAAAGTTGCATTTTGAGAAGCTCTTAAAGGGTACCCCTGTAGGTCGGTTGTCCCTCCCAAATAATGTGCATGTGCACCCCCAATTAAAGAACACCCTCAGCCCCGCTGGCCATAAATTGATTTCAATTGAACTCCTTGCTTATCCTTTAGATCTAAAAGGAAACTCAATTGAAAGTAAAATGATTTCCATTGAAATCCTTACTTATCCTTTAGAATCTTTAGATTTAACAGGAAAATCAATTGAACGTAAATTGATTTGAATTCAACTTCTTATTTACCATTGAGATATAAAAGGAAACATCTCATGAACTCCATGTTTAGTGTTGCTGCTCGTTATTTGGGGGTGAACACCTTCTCATGGATCTAGACCTTCTGGTGGTGAGGGTTTATTATACAAGAATACGAACTCGGCATTGGCTGGTTAGCAATGGTTAGCAGGCTACGGGTAGCATCGCTCTATCGACTGCAGCACCAGTGTCTTTCAATCCTTCCCAGCCGAGCAGCGCAACCACCAGCCTCGCCTGTATCGCGCTTCGACACTTACTGGTGATTTCTCAATGCTAGTCACTAGATCCAGAGGAATTTTAGGGGCGATGACTCAAAACCCATCAATGTCGTTTGGATAGAAGCACCTGCAAACGACGGCCCCCGATGATTGTTTCCAGGCTCTCCGTCCTCCGTCGGCAGTTCATAATGGCTACATTTAAATGCCGTAAAAAGATGGTGATCCCAATCGAATATTCCTCCGGCGAAACCCGTTACCTCCTTCAAATACTCAGCAGTCACGTTGTACAGCCTGAGATCGGCCAAACTCAACCAACGGACTCAGAAGTTTTACCTCTATGATATGCATTGATATGCATTATAGTGTGTGTATGTGTGTGTGTGTGCGTGTGTATGTCTGTCTGTATGTCTGTATGTCTGTATGTCTGTATCATTCTGTATCTATCTATCCTCCATCTACAGTATCTATCTAATATAATGTAACGTGACGACGTGTAATGTATCTGCATGTGTATTTGTATGTGACAGTGCATGAAAGACTTCCTCTGGAAACTCTCAACAAATCGAAGTATCCTGAATCAACATGAGAGTCAGTCACCAATCCCAGTTTTAGGATGGATATTGAAATCTTTTCGACAACACCAACCAGTTAAACATTCAGGATCTAAGGGTCATGTAAACGTACCTGGATAATCAGATACAGTAAATTCCCCACCCTGAAAAAAATGACCATTTGGGGATAGTTACCCCAATCACCTCCCATCATCACTAGCCACGTCGCGGAGGTCTGTCGTTATAAAAATACATGCATGATCATGCATGTATGTATAATAAGGTATAATATATCTATATATATATATATGTAATCATGCACATGTCATGGCATGTTCATCATAATCATCATTGTATCCCAATCCAATTCCCATCATTCCAGTAAATTCATCCAAAAAAAAATATTTTTCTAAGAAAGATAAAGAAAGCACATGGTATTTTACTCCATGATATACCCTCCAATAAATTAACATAGACTCTGGCATTTATCGGGTTTTTTTAAGACTAGTTTCCATTAAAAAATTGGTGATTTTCAGGGTCTAGCCATGGAACATCACCATTTTTAATAGGTAAACATAGGTAAACCATCTATTTCTATGAACCATGGCTTCACCATGGCGAACGGTTAGTCATAACCAGGTTGGGTCCACCGGGTCCATCAGGTCAGGTCCAAGGTGCTGTATAGCGCCAGGCAAGGCACTGATGGACTGCTCCGCCTCCTGGGGACGTGAAAAAAGGGAACAGCTGGAAATAACCAGATGATGTTATAGTTGGATAATGTTGGATATGTTTGTAATAATATGATGTTTATCATAATCTTAACAGCTGAATATCGGATTATATAGCTATTATAGCTATATGATGTTTGACAATAATTCATCATATATCAATATATATAATTATATATATACAATATATATCATTATATAATATGACAGTGCTGTATTGATATATATATATATATATATACATGCACATATTATAACTTAAATGGATATTCATGAAGTAACACGCTTGTGTGTCGGATGGCGAGCGGCTGTTCTGCAGTCAACGATCATCAATCCATTGGTGCCACTCGTGCCTCATTGGAGGACTCTGAGGACTGGCGTGTCCCGCGTATCCCGGGTATCCCTATAGCCAATTCCGATCTGCTTGGTGGTCATGGTGGTTAAGCCATCCCGAACATAGATATATGATATATATGATGAAACATGAGCATATTGGAAATCTGTTCGGAAGAGAAGCTGGAGATTCTGGTCCCCAAGCTTGTCTACAACAGATCTTTGAGAAATAAGGGGTCATCACTGATGTCCAAATCCAGTGCCTCTCCGTCTCTCCAAACCCATCTAACGACAGGTTGCAAACGGCATTGATCAAGTCAGTTGCCGAGAAATCTTTGGCTTGCCTGCCACAGCAACCACAGCAACCAACCGGCGATGTGGATGGATGGCCCTCTCAGGATCTGTCCTCGAAAATCTCATGATCTGGTGTGCATCCTGGAAACAAAAAATACGAAAGAGGATTTCATCATATTTCATCATGATCTTCATCATATTTCATATGTCATGAATATGTCAGTCACAAATCATGACAGTCTCTCAGTAGCGTTGGTAAAGAGTATGTAAACCATCCCCAAACTTAGAATCTGAATGGGTGGGAACCATCAATCTAACATTAAACTTAAATCTAAATCATGCCAAATGGATTTGAAATTCTGCATGATAAATAATTAACCCATACTGTGTGGATTGTATGAACATCATGATATGTATTGATAAGTAACAATGATACCAAGAATTTGAAATTCCAAAAGTCATATAAGTAATACAAGTAATTTAAGTAATGAAAGTAATATAAGCAATAGAAGTAATCAGTAATCATGATATATCATGATTAGGAATCATTCTGCTGTTCCCCTCGTCATAGAAATTCCGCCTGAAATCCATGGTCACATCGGCCGCCAATTTCAGAAGTCGAGAATGACGTGCAAAGTCGATCCTGGTTCCAGGGAACCCGACTCCCCATCCCATATGAATCATATGTGTTGGTAACAATATATAAATTAGGATTAATTAGGTATTCCTCTCATTTCCTATCATGTTCCTTTCATTTCCTATCATTTTCCTATCATTTTCCTCTCATGTCCTATCATTTTCCTATCATTTCCTATCATTTTCCTATCATTTCGTATCATTTCCCGTTCAGTTACAACTTGGGATAACAATCCCCATTCAACCAGCGATTTCTCCCAGACGAGTCCTCTGATGCTGTTGCTGTGTGACATAGAATTGCTCTGGAGCCGCCTGGCGGGCAAAAGCCCGCCAAAAGAGAGAAAGGACCTGGAAAATTATGGATTATAACTACTGTAGCTACTGCAACGTAAGGATGGTTCGTAGTTATTATTGCCATCTTGTTTTCACAACTGTTTTTGTGGATTGTTATGGCACATCTGTGCTACCGGCACTATGATTATCTCAAATATCTAACGGCCCCTTACCGAAAAGTCAACCAATGTCCATCTCCTATAGGCTCAACTCTGTTTGCTTAGCAATTCATACATATCAATTACGTAGTAATTGCTAAGTGCTAAGCAAACAGTAAACAGGGAAGTAATCAGTTTCTAATTAATATCAATATATGATAATATGTATATATATATATATTCCTCCCAAAACAGTAAACGATGTACCTTCTTGAACCCTCATGGGTTGGGAGAATGTTTCATGAGCTGGCCCGTCCTATGGCAGGCTCCACTCTTCCCGGGACATGGAAGTCACTTCGAATCCATCTTGTTTTGAACCCCATAAACAAATCTACCATGTGGGTTGTTTCAAAATGGTCAACCGGAACATTGGTGTACGAGATGTTTTTGATTGTTTTTGCAGTCGTGACATAATCTCTCTCTCTCTCTCTTTCTTTCTGTTTGCCTGTGTGTTGGCATGCTTGAACTTAGGTGAGCAACCGATGCTACGAATTTCGCTTTTGTTTTTTCCCGTCTATGTCTACTAGTGTTCCCGTAGGCCCTAGATTATCCGCTTTGATGTTTTTGCTACAGGGAGACATGTCAATCGGATGATGTGGAGACTGGATAATGACTATCCAGGTGAGAAACAAGTGTGAGAAACAAGTGTGACACGGTTCTCATGTGTGATCCATTTCCGACAATGTTTGCACGGTTTGTTCGGAAACTTTCCCACCTTCGAGTTTGATGGCCTTCATGAATGAAATCAAACCATTGTCTGAGTTGCCAGATTTGTTCCAAATGCTACCTGTACCTAGTTGGCAACATCTTCCTGCCAACTGATTGCCATTCCTCAGCTCTCATTGATTGGTTCCATCCTCGTCCTCCATGTCTGCGTTTCCGGGCGTTTCCGATGCCCTGTTCACCAGCAGCAGGTCAAAGGCACCAGTTTGAAGCGAGCGAATTGCCGACCCCCCAGAGGCCAGCCCCACCTTGGTGTAGGTCACAGTGGTGCCAGCGCCCTTCTCCTTGGGCAGGCAGCACTCATTGGTTTCAACTTGGGGATCATTATCCCAGGTAGGATGGGAAGACATGTTTCGAGGATAGTTTCCTTTCTATCCCCTAAATGGTAAAGTATAGGGTAAAGTAGAGTATGGTCCATCATACCTCAGAAGAATCAGAAGATCAATTCTCTGCTTATTCAACAGCGGTGAATCAACAAAGGCTTCAACTTCAGCATGGTCTGTGCAGCTCCTCAAGGACAAAGTCATCCGCAAAGCACCGCAGGAGCTGTGCAGTACGCAACTTCGCACATCTCAGGAAATTCCTGGGCAGTAAAGCACCTGGTCACCTGTACAGTACGATCTTGTTTTTTCATTTCCCAACTGTTGGCGCTGGTGGTAGCTGCGCACTTGCTGTGGCAGTTGCAGTTCCACTTGTTGTAAATAGATACTCTCACCATTCATGGTCAAATAATGTCAAATAAGCATAGCTCAGAGTGTCAAGCAGTGGATAGCTCTGCAAAAAAGTGGGATTGCCCTGCCTGGTCTTGTTCGAGATGCGATTCCCTAAGCTGGAAACCAGCATTGTCCTGCGCTCACTGCGCACCATGAGCACATCTCTACAGACTTCATCATCACTCCACATCAAAACTGCATGGCCAACAATTGCTAGGCCCCATGCGCCTGACATTGGTCTATTTTTGCAACTGCAATGGGTGTTTTGTATGGTGTAGTCCTCCAATTTTGACCGACATCATCCCAAACCCAGCCTGTCAGGGGAAGCCAGCAAGATGGACGCAATGTCACCTTGCCACGACATATGCACAGCACGTGCTCGTGTATCGGCGCCATGCGGTGCAAAATCGTTCTTAGCTGCTTCCGAACCACATGTGACACATCCTGGATGTTCGTTCCATATCCCTGACTCCGTTCCACTTCCAACACGTTGTGCAAAATCAGCTTAAGACGGTTCAGACCAATGATCAATCCACGGTCGACACACACACACAGAGCCCTCTCAAAGCAAATTAAGGCAATCTACCACAAGATAAACCAAGTCAACAAAAGGTCAACACACAATCAATACAATATCGGTAGAAGGCAAGCACAAACTGCAGCACATGGTGGGTGGTCCACAGCAGGACATCAACTGGTCAGTCCACAAGCTATCGCGATCTAAGACATTTGCAAAGGCTTTCCTGAAGGTCAGGCACCACTGTGAGATCTTCAATGATGTCCAAGGCCTTGTTTGGTGCATAAAACGGGTAAAACGAGCATCTCCATGTTTCGTTCCCCTCGAAATCAACCAACTGCATCAACTTATGGATTCACCCAACTTTTTCAACTCTGTTCCAACGGCCTCGTGATGCTTTGTGACACATTGACACATTGACATGTCTATCTATATCCCACATCTCATCCCCCTTAACATCAAGCATCCTCCGGTTCCAAAACGAACAAACCCAATAGAAAACCATGGTTTGTAATTAGGAGAGTACTTAACTTAATGCTCGAAGAAAGGGATCCCAAGGAATTAGTTATTCAATACTTTCTGAAAGGCAACGCAAAAAGCCATGACAGCTGCCTTCCCGCGCAAAATTCCATTGAGGACCTGCCAAAAAGAGGATTGACCGACCAGCAACCACCTCTTGGAGACAACATGAGACAACCACCACACCATCCGAGAGGCGAACACTGTAGCAAGATGTGCAACTTGTAAAAGCCTGGTAACATCAATGTAACATCAACATATCTGGTAAAGTAAATATCGCACTACAGGTTTGGATCCATCGCCATACGGCTTTGCCTCGAAATGGGGTATACTCCAAAACGTCCATTTTCATGGGGAAGATAATGAACAAGGGTGAGCAACCATGTTGTCCTTGGGTGCCGTTTGCAGACAAACTCATATTGCACGGAAGTGTACTCAGACATTCTCAATCACCATCGTCTTTGCTTTGTGCCAAAGACTCAAATTAGTCTATGCGTCTCTCTGGACATACTTGGGAGAATACCTCTGGCCGACTCTGGCCCGCTGTCCATTAGTTGCAAGAAGTCAAAGCTCAACGCTGCAACCCACCACCTGCCTGCTCTCGATTCCCTTTCCTCAGTGTGACAACAACCATGATATGCCCCGACTGCACTGCAGGGGCGCAGCAGCTTCAGCTGGCACCACAATCCTATCTCCATGCCGTTTCTGGCGATCCGAATACGACAATCGACAATCAACCCCAATCGTTTCTGGCGATCCGAATACGACAATCAACCCCAATCGGAACAGGTACAGTGCTTGTAAAATCATTACCGTTGCAGAGTGTCATGAACCTAATGAGGGTTATCTGTACAATCATATTTGACAATATCTACATGTTACATATGGTTGAAGCATGTTGAACCATGTAAAACCATATTTTTCACCATACAGTATCAAATCAAGCTCTAGTCCATGCTCCACATCTAACCAGCTCTTAGTCCATGATCTCCAGATTTTCTGAAAAAACGGCGGAGTTTTCTACTGGGAATCCCATGGAATCCGCCAAGTGTCTGTGGCTTCCCTTTGGGCACTCCATGCTCCTCTGGTGGCTTAGCATTGGCACCCAGCCAGGGAGACTGTGGCACGGAGACCATGAGCCCAAACTCGTCCTAAGCGTGATGCGTGACATTCGAACCGGTGTTCTGGGATGAAACATGATGAACCATGTGGCCAGTGGCTTTTCTATATATTAAGATTATATAAGCTGCCATATAAATCCATATGGCAGCTATTTTTGGTCGGAACGAAATGGGACAGATTTGGAGAAGGTGCCATGAAAATAACCTGTAAATATATGATTTCTGAAGCTTGGAGGTCACAAGCCGTTTTCTGGAACACAGGATGCTGATCTTAGATTCTCCACATGGAGGTTTCCTAAGTCATGGTGGTACCCCCAAATCATCCATTTTAATCGGATATGGCAGTGTGTCAAAACCTTGTACCCCGGTGAACATCAAAATAGCTGGTAAATGGATGTTCATCCCCCGAAAAATGGTATTAATAGGTATTGATCCATACCCATATGTTCTATTCTAAACCATCCAGCGGTCCAGCGGGGTACCCCCATGACTATGGAAAGCCCCTGATGCGCTGCTGACATGCCCTGACCACACTGGATCCGAATCGGTCCTGCTCCCAGACACTGACCAAATCTGGATGAAGTCGCAAAACCTGCCCGGATCATGGCGAGGACTCATTGGGCAAGGTCCCAAATACATGCAGAGCCAATGTGGAAAAAGGCATCATATTGTTGTGAGTGGTGATGATGATGATGATGATGATGATGATGCTGCTGCTGGTGGTGGTGGTGATGATGATGATGATGATGATGATGGAGATGGAGGTAAAGAAGAAGAAGAAGAAGAAGAAAAAGAAAAAGAAGAAGAAAAAAGAACAAGACAAATGATCATGATCATGATCATGGTCATGCACTTCATTCTATCCGACAGAGAACAAACGCATAAGAAAACACTACCCGGGTTCAACCGACTTCCAACGGTTTGATGCGGTCCAAAACTGTGGGACCCCGCGTTGCGGCGCCTGTTCCAAGCTCATCATGCTCGCGTCCAACACCCTTTCGGAGGAACTGCTCAGTCTGGCTGCCACTTCCTGGGAGGGCACATGTCCGAAAATGTTTGGGGAAGACCCAATGAACATATATGACTATATGAAAATCCCATGGTTTATCGCGGTTTATCATCATTATCTCCATTACAATGAGAAAAAAAAGGGTACATACCTCCATTTCCAGTCGTCTGAAGACCAGAAACATCCAGAAACCATCAACATTTCCAGCCCAGTAGCACTCAGTGAGAGCGGCTTGAATGACTCGGTTTCAATCAGGCGTTGCACCTGGGAACGACTCAACCGGCTACATCCGGCTACTGATTTTCATTTTCTTCAAGCTAATCCTCAGATCAACCCAGTCAGTTTAGATCCTGTCCGCATGCGGGCGCTTGTTTAAGTATGTTTAAGTGTGTAATGTATGAAGAAATCTGGCGCCACATGCTGTCCATGGAACTGAGATCTGATATGGACAAACGCTTTCGAAGATCCTGAATGGCAACCGTATTTTGTCAAGTTTGATTCAATCATCACAGATATTCTTGCACATGGCCTTCACAACTTCTGTCCAAAAAAAAGAGACTACGTATTAAACTCGTTGCTCTGAATGACATTTTGCACCCTTGATCTGTCGATCTACACTTACACAACATTATATAAACATTCACTCAATTGGCCCAATCCACGCTTGTGGCTTGAAGATCAAAGCCAAAGAACCCCCAACCGGTGGCGTCAATAATGGATGTCAGTGGTCATTCTGTATCCAACCTCTCCTGATTTTTTATCCCTGTGGCATTCGAGGATTCGAATCCAAGATGATCCAACAAATCATGATTTGAATAAATCAATAATCAATAATAATCAGCTTTAATATGGATTCCCATGGCACTAGATGATCCAATAAATCAATAATAAATCCATGCATGGTCAAGTTATATGGGATGAATGGGGTATGTTCATACCATGGGAATCTGAACATGAATTGATGATGACGATCCCTCCAAGAATCTTCGTGCAGCTGGTAAAAATTCGTACGCATCCCCAATTTTAGCATAGCTGGTTGTTTACATCTATAAACCATCAAAAATATCAAAATTTGCTTGGTTTACTATTCCATCTACCCTCTGGTAAATTAACATAGACCCTGGCATTTATCGGGGTTGGAAGACTAGTTTCCACTAACAATTGGCTATAAATTCAGGGTCTAGCCATGGAACATCACCATTTTTAAGAACGGTAAACCATCTATTTCTATGGGCCATGGCCTAACCATGGCTAGGTCTTCCTTTACTGTCCCTTTGCTGCACCCTTTGGCACCCCGGTGTTCATCCCGCCTCCGTGGCGATGTCAATCCCCATGGGTGCTGCGACGGGCGCAAGAAACACCGGCGGTGACATGACGGGCCTCGCGACGACCATCGCGATGGCGGTGGCTGAACATCCGGCAAAGCGGCAGGATTTATCATATTTTTAGCGGATGGTATATATATATATGTACAATATATATATAAATATGTACAAATGCACAATATATATTATGTATATATATATATGACTATGACTACCATTTACATATATAATATATAATATACATATGACTATATCTATTGCATATACATAATAGTTAGAGGGGTTTACAGCCACCTTACAACTGGTGGGGCTCAAATTTCTACGGGGATTTCTGGGCGATTTAAGTGGCCAAAATGGGGATTGAAAGGATGATAAACTCAGCACGGACTTTCTGTGCTGGGGTACCCTATTCTCAGACAAGCACAAACTCAAATAGAGCCACCTCAAGCAAATGTAATATATTGTAATATTATACATAGAATATACATAGAATATAGTATAGAATGTGATTCCCATTACAGTATCTTCCAATCTCAAGTTGTGACTAATTGTTCATCATCGGTGATTATCATTGACCATGATTCCAAGCTATTCCAATCATAAAAATCCATGAATCCATAATCCAGATATTCCAAGATATTCCAACCATAATAATCATGATTACCCTCTGGTTATTTAACATAGCCATGGAAAATCACCATTTTTAATAGGTAAACCGTTAAACCATCTATTTCTATGGGCCAGGGCGGCCATGTTACTATGTTAGTCATAACCAAAGGGTTTGCAACTTTGGTAGTAGGGTGTGTACCATCTTATGAATTAATAGGAAATTTGGCTCCTATATTAATTATTACTATGAGATTGATACAAGGTTTTTGTATTAGGGTACATATATTACATGGAATCCATAATCCTTTCCCCAGGGTCACGTAACGAAAATCCTGGTGAAACCACCAGGTGTTCCCACCAAAAAAGTTTAGCCACCGAGGCACAAGGCGAAGGCAGTCAAGGACTGCATTGACATCATGGGCCTGGACAAAACGCCCATGAAAAACTCCATGAAACTCATGATTTGACATTAATGATTCATTGATGACAATCAGTTGTTGTATTTTTTGACAAAAGAATAGATTCCGAATAGACTATTGACTATTGATTTATTTTTGGTTAGTAATTATATCAATAGTTCATCATGTATGAACTTGTCATTTAAGGTAGGCAAAATTACATCAATGGAGTCGACGAGGTGCCCAATTTGTTCGATCTGAACCCGATGCGGCCTTGCCGAACTAACTCGATATTAGTGGCCAAACATATGCCAAGGGGTGTCAAATGAAAAGTGAAAGGCGCCCACGAATGCCCACGATGGACTTAATGGTATACTATTGTGTCAGATGATTTTAGATGCAGTCAGAATTCCCGATGCTGCCAAGCAACATGTAAACAGGGTTCTCTGCTCGTTCATCCAAAAATCTTGGCGCGGCAGATAATCCGCCATCGTATCCCGCCATGGGAGGGGCGGCGAACCGGAACTGGTAGGCAAATCAAACCTTTTCATAAATAGCGCAATGTGGTTACAGGATGCAATGCTAACACCAAATTGTCTCAGCATATCCAACATCTAGTTCGTGCTACAGTAGTTCTCACAGTTTCATGTTCGGTGGATATCCATCTCAGAATCTGCTAAGCTGCACTCAGGTGCCACTTTTGTTCTTCAAGTTGACAGATGCAACCATCTTTATTTCGCCAACGGGCTGGTTTCATTTGGAGAAGCCGGAACACTCAAGAGGACTTACGCGAACACAGTCGCTAGCCCGACTGTTCACGTCAGCCAGAAAGGCCACGTCGGTTGCGGCAACGGAGGCATCTCTGGATGGTGTGCGGAACTGACGCGCTGAAGACTCAGCAGAAAAGAACGCATTTGCATGTTTGACAAGAGTTTCCATTGCTGACTCCCTGAGTGATTAAGCCAGGAGAAAATCTACACTCCAGGAAGTGAAGGATTCATCAATCGGTAGAGCTGGCATGCTTAACTACAATCGAAAACAATTAGGAAAACGTCGAGGCCACAAAGTTCAGCAAAAGAGCATGCAACCGTCAACAATCAGATTCCAGTGAAACGTTCTGGCATAAGATGTTTTTTGGCTAACACATCCCAGAACCCATTCTACCACCTGATCCCCCAGGGCTCAGGCTCTACTGCCTCAGCTGCCGTGTAGAATTTCTCAGAATTTCTCTACGGCTCCATGGCACTCAGAAAGCTTTATATAAAGATCTTTAAAGACACTTATGAGATCTTTCTGTTACATGAGATTTTTAGATCAGAAAACCACAGTTTAAATCAGTTTAACACACATCACTAGTGGGTTTCAACCATGAACCGTCCATAGAAGTCCACACCGCAGGTCCAGGCCTTGTTGATGTCGCGGAAAGTTTCATTCCCTTCGATCATCTTGGAAATCTGCGGCCTGGAAGTGGGCCACATCCAATGAGAAAGGCTTGGAGGTGAAATCCTCCCATGCATCATGCATTCCATGCTTGTGTGCCATGATTATCCATGATTGTCCTTTGGCAAACAGCTACTGTATGACGATTTTGAAACATGCTGAAACGTCTGTTTCCGGCGAAAGAACAATTTGAACATCATCCGGCATGAAGCAGCGCTGCAACACTGAATACAGGACCGTAACAGAACAAAGACCCTGCCTCAAAAAGGTCCGCGAAAGTGTGAAGCCGATGACGGCGGCTGTGGTCCTGTTGAGGAGTCTCGGAAAGACAAGTGAAATTGGAGGATGGACTCATCAATTCTCAGAACACAGCAAAAACCAACACATCATGTTGGCATGAGTCCAGGACACCTAGGGACCAAGGGCGCTACTTATGTTCATCATTCTTCATTCAAGCATGTCAATACCCTGTCCCTGCCAAAATGGATGTCAAAGAGCCAATAGGCAAACCTCAGGACAGCTAAAGCCCAGCCCATGTCGCAGATCAAACTCATTACATCGATCTCAAATTGGATCACTTTGGTGGCTACTGGTATGGTCTTCTTATCATGTTGCCAAAAAACTTCATAATGGCGATCTTCCGTTCCATGATGTCATTTATGCAAACATAACATGGATAGAACGAATAGAACTGGTCCGGGTCCAAACATAACTGTGGTCCTGAATGCCTCCGAGCCAAGGCATGATCAATCACTGGATATACAGAGCAGCCAGGATTTATGGTGTCTCATAATGTGTAAACTAGTTGCACATAATCACATAACACGGCCTAGTAGGGATAAGTTTATTGTAATATCCGTTATATAGAATAACATGCTATAATCCAACTATAATCAATAATCGAGACTATACATATACTATAATCCAACAACTTTTAAACAAACCAGTACAGTAAGCATACCAATGAACTTCTTGGGATCTACCTCTCAGGTTCCAACCGAAAAGGTAGCCAGAGGACAAGGTCAGGGGAGCTGCTGGCAGTGCCAAGCATTCCGCCTTGGAAAGGCTGGGTGGGTGAAAAATGTGCTCAGTTGTTCAGTTCTCTTTGCCAGTTTGGCTTGCTGTACATACACAGATAAACACACGCACACAACACTTTTATCTGTCAAGCTGCTGCAAGTACGGTGACATACGATGACTTGATCCTGGGCCTGTCACAATATCGTGATTGTATTTGATTGTATCGTTTGGTGTCTACTTCAGAGCATTATTCCCGAGATTTCCCAAGACAACACTGTGGGATATCTCATCGCTCAATATCCATCAAAATCCCAACTCAAAACCACAGCTGCCAAAACGGGGACGTTGCTTTGACGGTTAAGTTTAAACATCGGCTTCCTAGCAACAATCCCAGAAACATCCAGCACCAGCCCTGCGGCAGTTTTTTCATGCTTGCAATCCCATCCGCCCAATATTCAATTCTTTGAAATAATTATGGGCCAAAATACATAAGAAAGTAATGCCTACATCCTCGACCAGGATCTCTAACCGGCTATTTCCTTTTTTGCTTTCGGGATTACCGTTCTTGCGGAATCTAGTCGATGACGTAAATCCGAAGCCAATCGAGGCACCACAACGTAAATGGCAAAGAAGTAGACAATGCCCATGGGCCCCATCCTGATCGTCGAATCAATGCCCGCCCGCTATGGGGCATGGTTGGGCTAATTATTGGTAAACACCTTGGGACGGTGAAAACACCCCAATGTCTATGCCAGGATATTATATAAATTCCCAATTCCCAACATATGGTATGAATTGGTATGACATATGGTACAAACCAGGTGAACTATAGCATATGGATGTTCATCCCCCCAAAATGGCCCAGAATTGCTTTTGACACATCTCCATGTTGAGTCATCTTGGGGAATGGGACACAATTAGCTTATTACTTATCAAGAAATCCAGTCCCCCAATCTGAATCATGCCCAGTCATACCCCAGAACAGGGACCCTTAAAAAAGAGATCCAGTACTAAACCAGGTGCTTGTGGGCTTCTTTAATAGAGGGATGGGACCCTGCAGCCCTCTTGTGAAAAATCCCACGACATGATAATGTAAAGAATGCCAAAGTCTTAGTTGTCCCATGAGTCTTAGTTGTTGATCCATATTGAATGTCCCTTTTAACTGGCTGGTGGCACCAGTTTTCCACTAGACTGTTGCCTGGGGATAAACGTTTCCGAAGCCATGCCACGTCGCTAATCATATACGTCACATGTGTATGCATATATACAGTATATACACACGTGTCACATGTATATATATATAATTAACTATATATATATATACATATATACACATACGCTATTGACACTAGGCTGACAATGGTAAATCAGTAAATCATCTAGACTCTAGACTCACAGTCTCACAGGCTATTGTAATGATCTTTTACAAATCAATTGGGGGTTTCCTAAAATGGGGGGAAACCCTAAATCATCAATTTTAATGGGATTTTCCTTTACAAACCATCCAGCTATTGGGGTACCACCATTTATGGAACCCCGCAATTATCTAATGAATCAATTGTCTAATCTAATCAATTATCTTGGCGTTCCCGAGGCTTCCGGCTCGGCCACTTGCTCTGGAACCTGAAGGATACGGTGAAGAGCTGTGAAACACAATGTGACCTGTCCGTCCGACGTTAGGGGAAGGGAACCTATTGACATTATTAAACCAACTGGGTTTGTGCAGGGATATCCAGAAAATGGATGAAAATTGCAATTTTAGTGGGAAACCAAGGATAAAGCAATGGGATTTCTGGGTACTCAATCTTCAAACACACCCAATTATCACAACACACGGCTGAAATTTTAAGGCCGGGACATGCTGGATGGTGTCTTGAATGTAGGACAGGACCTGCATGGGAAATGTCTGATGAACAACAGGATCCCGAGGCGGCAGCATTTTAAACACCAACTCTTTGTTTCTCTCACGAGTTCTAATCCTGATGAGCCGAGGAAGATCATGGTTTTTTTCATGGCGCTTGCACCTCTGGTGCTACTCAGAACACATCATCCAACGATGACTCCAGAATCTGCCTCGGGCAAAGCGGCTCTCCCAGTGGTGCTGGTGGTCGAATGCCTCGTGACACGTTTCCAAGTTTCCTCATCCGCAAAAGTCCCCACACCTTTGGGCACATTTGGATCTTTCTAACCAGCACGTAAACTCCAGGCGCAGGTTGACCCTTGCCGATACGACCTCATAAGACAGTTGTGAACCCTGTCGTAGCTGGAAGCAATTTGAATGGACGATATCGGTTGACAGTGATGTGGGCCCGTTTGGCGGCTGAGTTGGGCCAAGTTGTCTACGCATGTTCCATATTTCTATGCAGAGCTAGGGGCGTGGTTCGTGAAACATAGTGAAACATCTGTGGCTATTTAGCCTGGGGTCGTCCCAACATTTGGATACATTTGGAGCCCAAAATCATTCAAAATCCAATGGCTTATCATCATGTTCCCATCCAAATGGTCATCTCATGGGTATCGATGGTTTAAGACAAACCGACGTTATCCGACGTTGGCTTCCCTTCCCCAGCCGATAAAACCGCTGTTTTGCACCCGTCACCCGTCACCTCGGTGAAGCCGTGAGCTGGTGCAGAGCTGTGTGACGGTGGCTTGAGCCTGCGATGGAATTGTGACGGTCGAGGGGCGATGATGGCGATGTGAGCAGCGGAATTTCATCTTCTCTCAATGGAAATCAGTAAACGGATGTAAACGGTTGTAATTTTCAACATTATTTCGATGATACAATGATATTCAACATCACTACTACACTAAACAAAAGCAGTCATCGTGCTCAGAAAGCATGAACTTTGAGGATAACAACCGATAACAAATAACAGCAGCAATGGCAACCACAGCAGCAGCAATAGTAACAAGAACAACAACACTGAAACTTGACAACCATGACGATGCTGCTGATGACAGTGGTGACAATTTTAGGTCATGGCTGTGATGATGAGTTGTAATGAGGACCGGGTAGTACAGCTAGAGGCTCTAAGTTATCCTGC